GTTTGCAGCTGTCCAGCTATGAAACTGATATATCTAGCCGGGGACCTGGATGATAGCAGTCTTCCAGTATCTCAGGGGCTGCCCCAAAGAAGAGGGAGTCAAGCTATTCTCCAACGCACCTGAAGGCAGGACAAGAAGCAATGGATGGAGAAACTAATCAAGGAGAGAAGTAACTTAGAACTAAGGAGCAACTTCCTAACAGTGAGGACAATTAACCAGTGGAACAACCTGCCTCCAGAAGCGGTGAATGCTCCAACATTGGAAGTTTTAAAGAAGAGACTGGACCGCCATTTGTCTGAAATGGTATAGGGTTTCCTGTCTGAGCGGGGGGGTTGGACTAGATGACCTCCAAGATTCCTTCCAACTTTATTATTATTATTATTATTATTATTATTATTGCTCATTGCACAGTCAGCCAGATGTTCAGACTGGATTTGGCATTTTGTTTACCTATGAGTCATTATTATTATTATTATTATTATTATTATTATTATTATTGCCAATGGAGTGCCAAGTCCAAACTTCAATTCTTCAGTTTCAGCTCTTATACCCAGCAGGATAACAGGAATTATAGTTTGAAATTTGTCTGAAATGGTATAAGGTTTCCTGCCTGAGCAGGGGGTTGGACTAGATGACCTCCAAGATCCCTTCCAACTTTTTATATTATTATTATTATTATTATTATTATTATTATTATTATTTTATCGAAACAATTCAAATTACAGGTAGTCATCAACGGCCACAATTGAATCCAAAATTTCTGTTGCTAAGCATGGCAGTTGTTAAGCGAGTTTTGCCCCATTTTACGACCTTTTTTGCCACAATTGTTAAGTGAATCACTGCAATTAAGTGAATTGTACAGTCGTTAAGTGAATCTGGTTTCCCCCCACCTCCATTGACTTGGCTTGTCTGAAGCCGGCTGGGAAGGTCACAAATGTTGATCACATGACCCTCGGACCCTGCAACCGTTATAAATACATGCCAGTTGATATCTATAATGGGTATTTTAAACCAGTGTTTTCCAGCCTGAGCCATTTGCAGAGGTGAGAGTTCCGTTCCACTAATCCAAGGGTAGGCGACCTTGGCTCTTTTATGACTCGTGGACTTCAACTCCCAGAATTCCTCAGCCAGCATGGCTCAGCTTGGAAACCTCTCTCTTTCCCCTCAGCGTGGCTGGCTCAGGGATTCTGGGAGTTGAAGTCCACCAGTCATAAAAGAGCCAAGGTTGCCTACCCCAGCACTAAACCCTTTCCCCCCCAATGGTGGAGAATTATGGGAGTTGAAGTCCACCTGTCTGGAAGTTGGGAAACAAAATTCACAAGATATATTGAAGGCCTCCATTATCTCAAAAGGGATTTTCTGGGCCATGCTCCGAGCAATTTATGCAGCCACTCTTTGGATGGACAGCTGGCTGTCTATAATGTATTTAATAATAAATCAATAAAAGCCAAATCTTGGCCACCTGATCTGTACAGGTAGTCCTCAACTTATAACCACAATTGGGATTGAAGCCTCTATCACAGGGGTCTTCGAACCTGGCCCTTTTATGACTTGTGGAGTGCCTGGCTGAGGAATTCTGGGAGTTGAAGTCCACAAGTCATAAAAGGGCCAAGTTTGAAGACCCCTGCTCTATCATTAAGCAATGCAATCATGAAGCAAGTTGCAGCCTAATTTATGACTTTATTTGCCATGATGCGTAACAAAATCACGCTGGTCATTAAGCAAATCATGCAGATGTTATGCAAATCCAGCTTCCTTTGTTGACTTTGCACTCTGGAAAAGTTGCAAATGATGATCACTTGATCCCAGGAGCCTGAAACCATTGTAAACACATACCAGTTGCCCCTAGATTTTGATCACATGACTGGGGACACTGCAGCAGTCGTAAGTGCGAGGACTAGAGATAAGTCCCTTTTTTCAGCATTGTTGTAACTTCAAACAGCTGTTAAGTAAATAACCACAAGTTGAGGATTATTTTGTACTGCCATCCGGAGTCTATTGGAGTTAGGCAACAAATAAATTTAAAAAAATAATTAAATTCAAATACTTGGCAACTGACTCATGCTTAATGAAGGTTGCGGTGTCCCAGGGTCACGTGGTCCCCTTTTGCAACCTTCTGACAAGCTAAGTAAATGGGAAAGTCAGATTCACATAACAACTGTGTCACTAAGTAAACAACTGCAGCGGTTCACTTAACTATAGCCAGAAAACAAGGCAAAACTCACAGCAACTGCCTCACTTAGCAACAGAAATTTTTGGGTCCCATTGTGATCATAGATTTGAGGATTATCTAGGGATCTTTCTGCATCCCTTTGCTGCCCTCTGTTGGCTACAGGGAGTTTTGCAGTCTGGATATTGCAAACCCCAAATTACACAGTAATAAAAATGCATCACTTTACACCATGGATCTTCAAACCTGGCCCTTTTATGACTTGTGGACTTCAACTCCCAGAATTCCTCAGCCAAACCAAGGAGAGAAGCAACCTAGAACTAAGGAGAAATTTCTTGACAGAACAATTAATCATTGGAACAACCTGCCTCTAGAAGTTGTAGATGCTCCAACACTGGACGTTTTTAAGGAAAGATTGGACAACCATTTGTCTGAAATGATATAGGTCAGGGGTCTTCAAACTTGGCCCTTTTATGACTTGTGGACTTCAACTCCCAGAATTCCTCAGCCAAACCAAGGAGAGAAGCAACCTAGAACTAAGGAGAAATTTCCTGACAGAACAATTAATCATTGGAACAACCTGCCTCTAGAAGTTGTAGATGCTCCAACACTGGACGTTTTTAAGGAAAGATTGGACAACCATTTGTCTGAAATGATATAGGTCAGGGGTCTTCAAACTTGGCCCTTTTATGACTTGTGGACTTCAACTCCCAGAATTCCTCAGCCAGGCCTGGCTTTACACAGTAGGTGAAGGAATTGTGTTCGGATGATTAGATGCACTCTGACCTGTGTGTAGAGAAAGTACCACCTTTTAGCATCCTTCCCGTGTATACTAAAATTAATTCTTTAGAAGTAAAAGACTAGTCCAAAAACTGCTGGATTTTATGAAATTGAAGAGAGGAAGAAGAGGGCAGAAATATTTTTCTCTCTGTGACCTTGCAAACACACTCACCCACTCCAAAGCGGTACATCCCATAGTCTATACACATAGTCCTCGACTTACAGGCCACAATTGACCCCAAAATTTCTGTTGCTAAGCAAGTCGGTTGTTAATTGAGTTTTGCCCCATTTTAAATCTGGCATCTCCGTTGCAAAAGGGAATCACATGACCCCAGGACCTTGCAACCATCATAAATATGAGTCAGTTGCCAAGCATCCAAATTTTGATCAATATTGATCAAATGTTGTTAGTTACGAAGTCATGTCCGATCCATCACGACCCCATGGACAACGTTCCTCCAGGCCTTCCCATCCTCTGTCATCTTCTGGAGTCCATTTAAGCTCACGCCTACTGCTTCAGTGACTCCATCCAGCCACCTCGTTCTCTGTCGTCCCCTTCTTCTCTTACCCTCCATCTTTCCCAGCATTAGGCCCTTCTCCAGTGAGTCCTTCCTTCTCATTAGGTGGCCAAAGTACTTGAGTTTCAACTTCAGGATCTGGCCTTCTAAAGAGCAGTCAGGGTTGATCTCCTCTAGGACTGACCGGTTTGATCGCCTTGTGATTAAATATTGCTGTGTAAAATAAGACGAGATAACCTTTATTGATCAATTTTGACCATGGGGAGGCTGCAATGGTGGTGTGAAAAACGATCATAAGTCACTTTTTTCAACTTTGAACCGTCACTAAACAAACTCTTGTAAGTCGAGGACAAGTTGTACACGCAGACCAGGCCAGAAATTGGTTGCAGTATCCATGATATTTTACTTTTTATTTATTTATTTGCTTACTTGTTTTACAGGTGGCCAAAATGTCTATTTCTTTATGATTAGATTTATCCCCCAACTTTATTTGTGTAACTCAAGGCAGCTCCCACCTCATAACAACAACCTTGTGAGGTGGCTTGGATTGAGAAAGGGACTGGCCCAAAGTCCACCAGCTCCTAGCCCAGGGGTAGGCAATGTTGGCTCTTTTATGACTCGTGGACTTCAACTCCCAGAATTCCTGAGCCAGCTATGCTGAGGGGACTGGGAGAGGTTTCCATGCTGAGCTGTGTTGGCTCAGGAATTCTGGGAGTTGAAGTCCACGAGTCATAAAAGAGTCAAGGTTGCCTACCCCTGTCCTAGCCTCTTGGTTTCCTGGTTCATAATCTTCACTGCTATTCCACACGGGCTCTCAAAATGTTGCTGTGTAAAATAAGATAAGATAACCTTTGTTGTCGTTTTTTTACTTGTGAGCACACTGGCCCTCATTAAAAATGAAATTCTGTTGCCTGCTCTCAAAAGAAAGATATCTATCCATACACATATATAACACACATATACACGTGCTATATACATATACATACACACACACACACACACATACATATACACACCCATACAAATAATAATAATAATAATTAATAATAATAATAATAATTAATAATAATAATAATAAAGTTGGAAGGAACCTTGGAGGTCATCTAGTCCAACCCCCTCCTCAGGCAGGTAACCCTATACCATTTCGGACAAATGGCTGTCCAGTTTCTTAAAAACTTCCAGTGTTGGAGCATTCACAGCTTCTGGAGGCAGGTTGTTCCACTGGTTAATTGTTCTCACTGTCAGGAAGTTTCTCCTTAGTTCTAGGTTGCTTCTCTCCTTGGTCAGTTTCCATCCGTTGCTTCTTGTCCTGCCTTCAGGTGCTTTGGAGAATAGCTTGACTCCCTCTTCTTTGGGACAGCCCCTGAGATACTGGAAGACGGCTATCCTGTCCCCCCTCGTCCTTCTCTTCATTAAACTAGACATACCCAATTCCAGCAACTGTTCCTTGTATGTTTTAGCCTCCAGTCCCCTAATCATCTTTGTTGCTCTTCTCTGTACTCTTTCTAGAGTCTCAACATCTTTTTTACATCATGGTGCATTCAGTGCGTTCAGAAAGTATTCAGACCCCCTTCGCTTTTGTCAATTTTGTTATGCTGCAGCCGGATTCTACAGTTATTGAAATTCATTTTCTCATTAATCTATGCTTGGTACCCCATAATGAGAAAGTGAAAACTAGAATTTTAGAAATGTCTGAAGATTTATTAAAAAGTAAAAAACCTGAAAGATCACATCTGCATTAAGTATTCAGATCCTTTGCGACAACACATGTAATTTAGCTCTGGTGCCTCCCATTTCTCTTGATCGTTGCTGACATGTTTCTACACCTTGATTGGAGTTGACCTGCGGTAAAGTAAATTGATTGGACGTGACTTGGAAAGGCACACACCTCTCTATAGAAGGCCTCACAGCTGAGAGTGCATGCTGTAGCAGAGCAAAAGCCATGAGGTCAAAGGAACTGCCTGCAGAAGTCAGAGACAGGATTATTGCAAAGCACAGATCTGGGGAAGGCTACAGTAAAATTTCTGCTGCACTGAAGGTTCCTAAGAGCACAGTGGCCTCTATAATTCTCAAACGGAGGAAGTTTGGCACAACCAGGACTCTTCCAAGGGCTGGTCACCGGGTCAAACTGAGCAATCGGGAGAGAAGGGCCTTAGTAAGAGGTGACCAAGAACCCGATGACCATTCTGGAGATCCTGTGTGAAGATGGGACAGAGTTCCAGAAGGACAACCATAACTGCAGCCCACCACCAATCTAGGCTTTATGGCAGAGTGGCTAGACCAAGGGTCTTCAAACTTGACCCTTTTATGACTTGTGGACTTCAACTCCCAGAATTCTGAAGAATTCTGGGAGTTGAAGTCCTCAAGTCATAAAAGAGCCATGTTTGAAGAACCCTGATTTATGTCTTATAAAGAAGTCTAATGATACAAGCAGGCCTTGACTTAACAGCAGTTTGTTTAGTGACCATTCCAAGTTACAACGGCACTGAAAAAAACTGACTTATAATTGTTTTTCACACTTAACGACCCCCATGGTCACATGATCCAAATTCAGACTCTTGGCAATTGACTCATGTTTATGACGGTTGCAGTGTCCTGGGGGGCCCCGTGTGATCCCCTTTTGCGACCTTCTGACAGGCGAAGCCAGATTCACTTAACAACAACAACCAATTTAACAGCTGTGGTGGTTCACTTAACTGTGGCAAGAAAGGTCGTAAAATGGGGCAAAATCCATTTAACAAATGTCTCATTTAGCAACAGAAATTTTAGACTCACTTGGGGTCTTCCTTAAACTAAAACCAGCTGAATTACCTCATAACCTAGGGTGGAGTGTAAACATGGTCACGGCAGCCCCTAAATCATAGTTTATGCCATTTGCTTGACCGTGCAATGGATGGTTTGTTCGAGGAGTCTTGAGGACTAGCATCCTGAGCAGGCAGTTTAGCAATACACCAAATCAAACACAATTAAAGCAGGCTCCTAGGCTCATTTTTTTAATCAGCTAAAGGATATTTCTCTTCTCCCCCCCCCCCCAATTCTGTTTCAGGCTTCTTCTCATCTGCCTCAGCAGTTGAAGTTCACAACTTCGGATTCCTGCGACCGGATTAAAGATGAATTCCAGTTGCTCCAGGCGCAGTATCACAGGTAAATAGCCCGGTTTTTCTCCAGCTTTCAGCCAGCGGTTGTGTGAAGGATGATTTCCAGGCCAGGATGTGGTGAAATTGAGGCTGGTGAAATTGAAAAGAAGGTTGGATCCCAGGGGACTCAGCATGATTGATCACTCAGGCGTGTATTCGCTCAATCTCAGCCGTGTGCAGTTGTGTAAAAAAGGTCATTGGAAGAGAATCTCTCTGCCTCAGCAACTGTTAAGATGTGTGGACTTCAATTCCCAGAATTCCCCAGCCAGCCTCGTGGGTTAAACCCTTTGGATTCGAACCTGCTTGCCAGTCTTTTGCAGATCGTCCAGAGATTTTCCCCAGAGATCCCAGTATGATCTCCAGATCTGCCTCTCCTCTCTTTTCGAGATCCCCTTTCTGTGCATTTTGTCAAACCACTGTGAATCCACCATCATTTTGCAATAATTTAAAACACTGAAAAAAAAACCTTCATTCCTGGATCCTTCAGTTTAAACGCCGGATCCAATTTGGAAATTGGGGCATGTTTTATTATAAGCTGCGTTCTGATTTTAAAAAATCTAGAGGAGGGTTAGGGATCTCAAGTTCCAGAAACAGGTGCCCGGGTTTTTGATCACATGACCGGAAAGATGCAGCAACGGTCGTATGGGTGAGGACCCATTGTCAAATCACTTTTTTTCCAGTGCTGTTGTAACTTTGAACGGTCACTGAACAGAGGTTTCCAACGGCAGAGAAGACCCCCTCCCCTTTGTCCCCCCCCCGTGCCCACCTCCCCAGTCTTCCTCTTTTTTTTTTACAGCCTGAAGTTGGAATGCGACAAACTGGCCAGCGAAAAATCGGAGATGCAGCGCCATTACGTGATGGTAAGTTTCGCACTTGCAATCGACCCGGGGGGGTGTGTCCCGCAGAGAAGAACAGCAGGTCCTGTGAGGCAAAGTTGCAAATGACAACCCCCCCTCCCATATTTGTCCCATAGAGAGGAAAGGGGAACAGCAAAGCAAACCAGAGTGCAGGATTTCCTGTTCAAATGCAAGTGATAGGAAGCTTGGGGGGGGGGAGGGGCAAGGCCTCCAAAAGTCAGATGCCTCCTCCCCCCCACCCAAGGAATCAATCCCTTTGAACTAAACACACACACACACACACACACACACACACACACACACACACTCTACTGCCTTAAGAGCTGTTCTCAATTGGATTCTGGTTCTAAATTCTTCCCTTCAGTCCCAAAACCCAAGTCCATTTTAATTTTATGTCTTTATTTTTATTACTTGATTAAATTTATATGCCACCCATCTCATCATTGAGCAATTCTAGTGGTGTCCTGTCCTGCTTTGCCCTGTCCTTTCCTGTCCCCTTTCCTTCCTCCCTCCCTCCTTCCCCTTTCCTTCCTTCCTCCCTCCCTCCCTCCCTTCCCTCCTTCCTTTCTTCCTTCCTTCCCTCCCTCCCCCTCTCCCCTTTCCTTCCTTCCTTCCTTCCTTCCTTCCTCCCCTCTTCTTCCTTCCTTCCTTCCCTCCCTCCCCTCTCCTTCCTTCCTCTTCTTCCTTCTCCCTTTCCCCTCTCCTTCCTTCCTTCCTTCCCTCCCTCTCCCCCTCTCCCTCCCTCCTCCCTCCCTCCTTTCCCTCCTTCCTTTCTTCCTTCCTTCCCTCCCTCCCTCTCTCCTTCCTTCCTCTTCTTCCTTCTCTCCCTTTCCCCTCTCCTTCCTTCCTTCCCTCCCTCTCCCCCTCTCCCTCCCTCCTCCCTTCCCTC